GTATACATATCTTCATTTAACAAATTTATTATTAACCCAAATTCAATGACCTGTATTAAAAATTGAAAACTCTCTTATGTCTTAGTTATTATTTTAGTTAATTTGTTATATTTTAGTAAATACTTGATACATGTTTTAGTAAAATACTATAATTTCTATATTGTTGTACTATTTATATTTTATTGATTATGTAGTCATAATAAGTTAATTAATTAAATATGTGTAAACTAATATATTTAATTAAAAACATTTGTGATATTAAAATTAAATATGTGTAAAATAATAGATCTAATTAAATTACATTTTTAATTACTACAAAGATTTAAAACGTACCTAAGCTATTAGCCATAGAAAAATCCGAACTCGACGTACTCAAATTACACTTGAGAAAATAGTATGCACACACACACACACAGAGTATCTTTTCACAAAATTAAAGATCTCATACATAAACAGAAACCTATATGCATAATTTGTCTTCATGTTCTATTTACAAATTTTGAAGTGTTTCTAATGGGACTTCTCAAGGTCTTTTTAGTTCGTGTACGGTGATTTTGTCATAAATCAGTAGAGTGGTAAATGATATGCGTCATTTTTACGTGCATTTTAGATTGGTTTTCATACTCGTTTCGTCGTAATTTGCTATGTATCTTTATTTATTGAATTAATTTATCAAGCTATGACAAAGGTATTATATTTTGGGTTTTTACTGAAAATGAGGTCGAAATTAATTTTTAGAGGCGAAACGGAGAATGGTCAAAGAAGTTGTGCACCGATGCACTGGAAGTGTCCTAAGAACAAGAACTGCAGGAAAAGTTAAAAATAGTCGTAACTAAGCCCAAGTGGAAGGAACTTACAGATAATTTCAACCCAAATGCACGACCCAAAATCATATTAATGAAGGGTCTGGTGGTCATATTCTCTAGTAAAGATGTAGTGCTCTTCTTCTCCATCATAGACATGACCAATTAGTCGGTCGGTTCACGACCCGGCCCAATCTGGCTGGTCGATGAGCCTCAAAACTTGGGCCTGGAACCGGTTTGATTATATATAAGGGCCGATTTATTGAATTGGCCCGAACCGGTGGTTCAAACAATGCCAAAAACCTAGACCCGTCTTTCTGCCCGGAAACGANAAAAAAAAAGGCACGGTACTACCACGGGTCCGGTTCTAAAACACGTACATACGGGCCGATTTTGGGTCGACCTGGCGGTCCGGGCTGACCCCGGCACCACGTGCAGTTGCTGTTACAACATCACCTCGCCACCACGCCGCTGACCAACCACCGGAGATACACATTTCCGACGTCCTAACCACCTCGCCGTTCGCTGCCACCTCGCCATTTGTTCGCCGTTCACCAGCATAAGAAATTGCCGCGCCAGGGGAAATGCAGGCCGTCGGAGTTGGCCTGCCGAAACTCGCCGGCGCACCACCTAGAGCCAACCCATACAACCTTGAGCACGTTTGATACGCCGTAGAACGATATGGAGCAACCGCTTGCCGCCGTCTATTTGTTGGGGAAACTGTTGTGGATCAACTTCACGTATGCTGCTCAGAGTTGGTCGTAAAGCGCCATGCACGACCGCCTGAACGTTTTCTGATCACCGAGAAATGCCCGATAACCGACCAGGAGCCACAAGCTGCTCTCAGAATCAAGTTTCGAGTTGTTTTGGTCGCATACGCGCGGACACGACTCGTGTCGAGCAAAAGGGTCCGAAACGAGTTCTCGAATTTTCCACACGACGACAAAAACGGATTTTATGTGTTTTTCTTATTTTTGACGGATTTTTCGACCAATTTTGGCTAGGACTCGACCTCAATTATTTAAACAACACTAGGGCATGTTGTTTGAGGAGTGTTTTGGAGTTTTTCAGACTTTTAAATACCTCTGATTCTATGTGGGACCGTGCAATGACGTACCCGTTTCTCGCATCTACCCTTCTAGGAGGGCTTGTACACTTAGCTCCTCACAAGTGAGGGGGCGTATTAGAATATTCACTTGTGAGTGTCCTACATAGTTTATATAGGGAATATATGTTTAACTTATAAGAATATTCACTTGTGAGTATTCCACATCGTTTATATTGGAAAAATAAGTCTAACTTATAAGTCTAATGGGCTACTCCTCCTTCCACCAATTGGTTTTGAGATGGAACCTCACTTGAGCTTCATCTGGACTTTCCCTGTTAGAACCTCACTTGAGCTTCATTTGAGTTTTCCCTGTTGTGGTGCGTTTTACGTGCGTGGGACAGTACACATTTTCCCCTCCGTTTCTTACAATCTCGTTTCATTGGCGACTAATTTTTGCCCATGTTAATTAGAAAGTACACTTGTTTTCAGAAATGCGTAAGGTAACTCGAAATCAGAGTCGCTGACCTAAAAGCATGAAACAGAAGTGTGTTGGTCTTATCAAAGACCAAAACGAAAAGGTAAAAAAAGATGGCTTTCTATCATGGCATAGGTAATAAACCAGAAAACACACACTTCAATTAAGCAACTGCATGCTCAAAGTCTTTTCCAGTTTCCCTCATAATTAGACATTTTAACTCCCTTAAAACGAATATATAAATATGAATAATGCTATTTTGACATAAAACATAATGTATTTGCTATAATAAGTGTAAGCTAAGTATTTTGAGTTGTTGATTTTAAAGATGATGTTATATGTAAAATCACAAAATAGTTTAACACGTGTGCATTATGTCAAAAATTTACGTCACCATTATGTTGGTGTAGCATAGTTCTATAAGACCTACAGCTACAAGCTCAAACTCTCACTTTTGTTTTTCAGTTTTCACAGAAGGACAAGACAAATTCAAAAAGACAAACATGCTGTGAAAAAACACCAGCAACCTCTCTTAGGTGCAGCCAATACAAAAACTCCTCCATCTTTTCTGGTCTGCAAAAATTTTAAACCGACGACTTGCTTCCAATCACCTTCCACAAGAAGTTTCCAGATTTTCCGCGTCACGTCACACTATGATGAGGGCTGCAGACATTATCTGATTACCTTATCTCGTTTAGAACACAGCTTGCAAATGAACCTGCCAATATATATTTTTTTTAAATGAAACTCTCTGATCAGCGTTATGTTCGATTACTACATATAAACAAGTTTAAAGAGTAATAATATATTCATAAGTCCCTTATGTTTAGGTCACTCAGAATTGTGGAAGAAAATACTTTCCTAACATGAAAAGACATACCAAGCTATAGAAGATGTGAGCAAAGAGGATGAAGAGTGCAAATCGGACAAATGCATACACATTACACCCGAACGTATCTCCTCTTAACTACAAATAGAAAAGAATAGTTGGTTTAGCTATGACTTGCAATTATGTTACCAACACCTGTCAAAGTTGTCACAAACCAACATTTACCAACGATCATTACAAAGGGAAACAGCGTGTATACTAAATTAAACTTAAAGGGTTATTTGGATCATATATTAAATCACCAATCGTAGACTTGAAGCCCGAAAGGAACGAATGAGAAGGATTGAAAATATTACCTGAATACCCTCCATCTCCGTTCAACCACAGCACGACACATTTTGTTCATAATCCGAAAAGTCCTTAAAAAAACTGTTTCCAGATCAAGTTTTAACTTTTAAGGCAATTTCTGTTTTACACTGTACTCCAACCCATCGTCTTTCTCACCCCTCGATCCTTCATTACCTTCCGAACTTGTTCAACCTCTTCCCACATCTCCATACAGCTGTAGAAATCAGAGATTAACACACGGTACCCATCATTTTCTGGGTCGGCTTCAATCGCACGCTTTGCTATCTTCACACCCATCTCAGCATTGTTGTGCATTTTACACGAATTCAACAAAGAGCCCCAAATTCCACCATCGGGAGTTAAAGGCATCGACAAAATGAGAGACTCGGCCAAATCAAGACATCCCGCTCGTCCATAAAGATCCACCATACAAGCATAGTGCTTAAGTGTGGGCACAAGAGAATAATATTCCATCATTCTACCAAACAGAGACTTACCTTCCTCCACCAATCCAGAATGAGCGCAAGCCGAGAGGACAGCAAGGAAGGTGAGCCCGTTTGGCGGCTCGGTTCCATTTTCTTCCATCTGCCGGAAAATCTCGATTGCTGACCTGGCGTGCCCGTGGGCCCCGTAACCCGAAATCATCACGTTCCAAGTCACGGTGTCTTTTTCGGTCATGGAGTCGAAAATTTCTCTCGCCTTGTCGATTTCTCCGCATTTCGCGTACATGTCGACTAGAGCTGTCACGAGCGAAACTTCGTGAGTGAATAATAATCCCGTTTGTTTGATGTATTCGTGTATTTTTCTCCCGTTCTCAACAGAGGCAAACCGAGCACAAGCGGATAACAAGGTTAAGACGGTCACTACGTTAGGTTTTAATCCTCGTGATATCATTTTGTCGAAAAAAGTGATAGCTTCGAAAAATTTCCCGTTCTCGGTGTAAGCTGAGATAAGGGAGTTCCATGCAGCAATGTCTTTTGGATCGATTTGATTGAAGAGCTTTTGTGCCGTATTCAAATTCGCACATCGACCGTACATGTTGATGAGTGAATTTACAATCGAGATGTTCTCAAACGAACGCTGCTGCTTTAGGATATGACAATGCACAGATTGACCGAAACGAATCGCTCCCAATCTCGAACAGGAAAAAATCACGGACATTAAGCTGCTCGAATAGGATTCTATTCCTCGAAACTGCATTTCTTTGAACAAATTTATACAGTCAACTTCTAATCCGGCTTTCTGATAGCCAACTACCATGATATTCCAAGATTCTTTCTCTCGATCATGCCCACCAGCAAAAAAGATCTTCCCCGCAATATTCACGAGGCCAAATTTACAATACATTGAAATCAGTGAATTATTAACAATCTGATTAAAACAATAATTTCTCCTCAAGATATACCCATGAAGCGCTTTCCCTTCACCGACATTCATTGAATTGGCGAAACCAGAGATCAGACATCCAATTACCATCCCGTCCAGGTGGACCCCATCAGCCTGCATTTTCGTAAACATTTCGAAACATTCACAAAATCTCCCGAGCCTTGCATAGTTGACGATAATCAAGGTCCACGAGAAAAGATCCTTCTCCACGACCTCTTCGAACGAAACTTTCACATCTTCAGCACTTTCACAATTTGAGTACATCGACAAGATATGAGATTGAATGATGTGGGAGGACACGATTCCCAATTTAAGCGCTAAGTCATGCAAACACCTGCCAGCTGTCAAGTCGCTCAATTCACCACAAGCTCGAAAACCCCCTTCTAAAGTCCGGGAATTCAGCCTCTCGGAAGCATCCCCACCAGCCCTATGCATCTCTTTCAGACACAGCAAGCCCTTCTCACTCTCGCCGTTCTGCACGTACCCAATCACAAGCGCAGTCCAAGCAACCACATCCTTCAGGGGCATTTCGTCGAACACGAGAGAGGCGTTCTCTACAGATCCACATTTTGAATACATGTACACAAACGAGGCCCCAACGGCAGAGTTCCCAACAAAGAGGTTCAATTGGAAGACCAACCCATGAACGGCCATGCCTGTCCCCAGGGACCCGAGCTCGGCGCAGGCCGAGACAACCATTGGGAAGGTAAATTGATCGGGCGAATTCCCGGCGCGCTTCATCTTGGAGAAAAGCTCGAGGGCACCAGCATAGCCCCCGTTGGAAAAATGGGCTTTGATGATGGAGTTCCAGAGGAAGGCGTCTCTGAAATCGAGGCAGTCGAAGACCTTGGTGGAGCAATTGGGGCGGCCGACGGAGGCGTAAGAGGCTATGAGCTTCGAGGCTATGAATTTGTTTCGCGCGTTGCCGGTGGCGATGATGAAGGCGTGGGTGAGGAGAAGGGTTCTTGAATTTAGGAAATTTCCGAAGAGGAATGGGTCAATAAGTCGGTTGAGGTAGCTGGATTTTGAATCGGCTTGCGAACAATACGAGTATAAGCGTTTGTGGAGGAGCTTTGGGAATTTGAAAGCTGGCATGGGCTTTTGCCAGTGGTTGTTGCAGGTGGGATGTGAAGAATCCGCGAGGAGGATGAAATTGATGATGGTAAAACTGTGCGCCGTCCCGAAGTCATTTGACGAGGCCGTTTGCAGTCTTTGTAGTTAAATTCAATCAAAAGGCAAAGACATGTGGAGTGAGAGGTCTTCTTCGCTCGGTAATTCAAGGCATTGTGTGTTTTTGGATGGGGGTCTTCCATTTGCCTGGCATAGTTAGAACAAAAATCACCAAACTATGTAGAAGGTTCCTTTGGGGCTCGAAAAGCGCTCATGTGGCTTGGGAAAATTTATGTCTGCCAAAATTGGAGGGTGGTCTGGGTCTTAGAGACTTGAATGCATGGAATTAAGCTTTGCTCTCCAAGACGCTCTGGAACATGCAAGTAAAGAAGGACACCCTATGGCACAAATGGATCCACACCAATTACTTACAAGGGAGCTCCATTTGGGAATGGCAAATTAAACCAAGGGACTCGGCTCTATTCAAAGCCCTTTCTGAGATCCGACAAAGCTTGGTGGAAAAAACGGGGAATGTGCGGAGTGCGGAAGCCCTTCTTAAAGGGTGGAAATCTCGGGAAGATCAAGATGGGTCTAGCAAATGCTACGAATTCCTAAGACCAAGGAAAACTATAGTGCCGTGGAATGGGGTTGTTTGGGGCCCGTGTAACACCCCTAAGCACTCATTCATCCTATGGTTGGGGGTGCTTAATCGACTCAAGACAAAAGATCGTCTAGAGTTCCTAGAGGAAGATCCGACATGCCCTATGTGTGGAGAGGCGAATGAATCTTCGAGCCACCTATTCTTCAAATGCACCTTTAGCTTGGAGATTTGGAAGGATATCCGTTCTTGGATTAGTCTCCGACATAGACCGTCCACACTAAAAGGAGCCCTCAAATGGATCAAAAAGGAAGCGAGAGGGAGTGGATGGCAAACCAAGTTGAAGAAAGCGGCTCTTGCGGCTACTGTGTACTTCATTTGGAATGCAAGGAATCGTTTGGTGTTTGAGAATGAATACCAAGGCCCGAGTCTGGTAATTCGCAAGGTAAAAACACATGTTTATCGAACTATATTTACTACCTATCCGAATGTGCTTATTGAATTCGAGAGGAGGTGCCTTGGGCTTTGAGGGGCATTATGGATACTTGATTGTTGAGGTTTTGTGGTGGTCGGAAGGTCAAGGAGAATGGAAAAGCCTCTGTCCGAGCAATAGCGCCGCTAGCTAGCAGCTAGCTCCGCTAACCCCCCCTAGCTCCGCTAACCCGCTGAAGAGAAAAGTCTCTGTCCGAGCAATAGCGCCGCTAGCTAGCAGCTAGCTCCGCTAACCCCCCCTAGCGCCGCTAACCCCCCCTCTAGCGGCGCTAGCTACTGATTTTCAGATTAGTCTCGCGAATCTATTATAATTAGGAGGAGGGTTTGTTTTATTGGACGCTCTTAGACTTATTTTATGCGCGTTTTGCTGAGGAGAAATACCTGCGTGAAATTGGAGAGATGTGACGTTTTTCGTCGCGAGTCACGACACCCGGTAGCAAGCCGCGACCCCCTTTACGCGAGTCAACACTCTATGTTTTTGGGCTTGTTTGGATCCGTACGAACTTGGGCTCTAACTCCGTTATCTCCTATGAGTAGCCAAAGAAGCCTTATTCGAAATCTAAATCGAATGACTTTCTGAAATTTATTTTCAAATGTTATTAGAATGACCAACTGACTTGTGGTTGGCTTTATACTGCGAATGAGGAACCGAATTGTGGTTCCCATTACGCTTATGTAAGTCGTAGAACGGTTGTCTGAAACAGTTTTGAAATATATACTTACATTTAACGATCAAAAAAAANAGACCAAGTCCAACCAATACTCAAACTTATACCCAAACGCATAAAAGTGCTCCAACCGATACCAAAACAGAGACGCAAATTGCGTTTGTGCTCAATTTCTCTCTCTTCTGGACGCATATTTGCGTATTACTGTTCACAAACGCATTTCTTTTTAAAAATTGCAAAGCAACCCCTTAACAAAATAGCATATAGCTTATATATTTTAATTTTGTATATAATTTCGAACTTAATGATTTATTAACATAAAATTATATTAAAGAACATAAGAAATCCTGTTACTAGTAAACTACTTGGTTTAAAATTTTAACACACAGATAATAATACCAGTAAGGAAGTAAACGTAAATTAAAAATATAATAATATCATAGTATACAATAGCCTACACTAATGAAATAATAGTATATGATTCTTTTACAGATATAATATAATAAAAATAAACATGAAATTAAAAATATAATATCAGTAAATATAAAATTAAAAATATAATATACATGAAATTAAAAATATAATAATATCTAAGTAAACATTATTAGCCTATACTAATGAAATAAAAAATATATAAATTTTACGCATAGAGAATAATACCAATAAAAATGAAATTAAAAACAATAATATATAAGTAAGCCTTATTAGCCTACATTATTAGTTTAGTAATCAGGTGCTGAAATGAAATATAACATCACACAATTACGATAATAAAATTTTTAATTTTATCCTATGTGTTGTAATTTTTAAATTTTAATTTTTCATGAGCATTTATTTCTCCGATTTTATTATGTATTATAACTTTATAATTAATTTTATTACATAAAGTCTAAATTGAATTTAAAATAGTAGTGTGGTTTAATTTGTAAAGTTGTAAAATATGTGGGTAGTATTGAAAAATTGTAAAAGTTGATTTAAAAGAAAATATTCCGAGAATATTCTTTTGGGTTTGACAATGAGTTTTTTGTGGTTGGAGTTGAATTACTGCAAAATGGGACAGTTACTGCAAAATGGGTTTGAGTATGAGTTTATCGGTTGGAGATAACCTAAGCAACAATTAGCCTTACTATCTTAATTATGTCAAGAGTTGTAGCCGAGCCGATTAGCCTCACTATCTCAAAGTATGAAATTAAGCAACAAATCGAGTTAATGAACAAGGTCGATATCAACTCGTTTATCAAAATTAATGAGTAAAATTTATTAATGAGTAAAATTTGAGTCGAAAGCTTATGAGATAATAGTATGAAATTAAGCAACAAACCCAGTTAATGAACGAGGTCGATATCAACTCGTTTATCAAAATTAATGAGTAAAATTTGAGCCGAAAGCTTTTGAGATAATAGTTCAGAAAATTACGTAAACTAAATACAATACCAACCAGAGTTTTAAAATTAAATACAATACCAACAAGAGTATAATTAGAGGACAAGTTTTATTTTTCGAACAAAGACAACAACTGCACCAGCTCTTGATTCTTCCGAAAAAGTGAAGGACGCAATATGTTCCTCCTCCTTTACTCCGTTTTTGTTCTTATAAATAAAAAGTACAATAATACTCTCTTTTTGTTCTTTCACACGGAATTCACTTTCACCCCAACCATTAAGCCGCATGCAATCCATAATTGGAGACTAAAATCGAAATTTTGTTATAATGTGTATTAATAAATGTATTTATTATATTAAGTAACTTTTTGTTTATTGAACTGTTATAATATTATTTTATAAATTTATAATATTAAAATATTATCATGAACAAAAATTTGTTATTATTTTTTAACGTAATACACATTTTCATTTAACAAATTTATTTATAAAAGAAATAATATGTGGTAAATTAATGGACGAACTGGAATTAACACAAAACCAATATTTTCAATGACTTACATTATAAATTGAAAATTATCTTAAATCTTAATTAATATTTTAGTAAATCCCAAATATTTTAGTAAATACTTGATATGTTTTAGTAAATAATATAATCTCTATATTGTTGTACTATTTATATTTTATTAATTATATAATCATAATAAAATAATTAAATATGTGTAAAATAATATATTTAATGAGATTACATTTGTGTATTAAAATTAAATATGTTAAAATAATATATCTAATTAAATTACATTTATGTTGTACCTACATTTTGTTTTACTAATAAGACTGCAAATGGCCGGGTCAAATGACTTTGGGACGGCGCACATTTTTCCCATCATCACTATCATCGTCCTCGCGGACTCGTCACATCCACCTGCAACAACCACCACCACGGCAAAAGCCCATACCAGTTTTCAAATTCCCAAAGCTCCTCCACAAACGCTTATACTCGTTTTCTCCGCAAGCCGATTCAAAATCCAGCTACCTCAACCGACGTATTGACTCATTCCTCTTCGGAAATTTCCTGGATACAAAAACCCTTCTCCCCACCCACGCATTCATCGTCGGCGCCACCGGCAACGCGCGCAACAAATTCATAGCCTCTTACGCCTCCGTCGGCCGCCCCTATTGCTTCAGCAAGGTCTTCGACTCACTCCATGTCAGGGACGCTTTCCTCTGGAACTCCATCATCAAAGCCCAGTTTTCCAACGGGGGCTATGCTGGGACTGTCGAGCTTTTCTCCAGGATTAAGCGCGCCGGGAATTTGCCCGATCAGTTTAGCTTCCCAATGGTTGTCTCGGCCTGCGCCGAGCTCGGGTCCATGGACACCGGCATGGCCGTTCATGGGTTGGTCTCTAAAGCGAACCTTTTTGTTGGGAACTCAGCCGGTGGGGCCTTGTTTGTGTACATGTATGCGAAATGTGGGTCTGTAGAGAACGCCTCGTTATTGTTCGACGAAATTCCCCTGAAGGACGTGGTTGCTTGGACTGCGCTTGTGATTGGTTACGTTCAGAATGGCGAGAGCGAGAAGGGCTTGCTGTGTCTGAAAGAGATGCATAGGATCGGTGGGGATGACACCGAGAGGCTGAATTCCCGGACTTTCGAAGGGGGTTTTCGAGCTTGTGCTGAATCGAGTGACTTGACAGCTGGCAGGTGTTTGCACGGCCTTGCACTTAATCGTTCAATCTCATATCTTGTCGATGTACTCAAATTGTGAAAGTGCTGAGGATGTGAAAGTTTCGTTTGATGAGGTCGTGGAGAAGGATCTTTACTCGTGGACCTCGATTATCGTCAACTATGCCAGGCTTGGGCGATTTTGTAAATGTTTTGAAATGTTTAATAGGATGCAGGCTGATGGGGTCCACCCGGACGGGATGGTAATTGGATGTCTGATCTCTGGTTTCGCGAATTCGATGAATGTCGGTGAAGGGAAAACGCTCCATGGGTATATCTTGCGGAGCAATTACGGTTTTAACCAGATTGTTTGGCCTCGTGAATATTTCCGGGAAGATCTTTTTTGCTGGTGGGCATGATCAAGAGAAAGAATCTTGGAATATCATGGTAGTTGGCTATCAGAAAGCCGGATTAGAGGTTGACTGCATAAATTTGTTCAAAGAAATGCAGTTTCGGGGAATAGAATCAGATTCGAGCAGCTTAATGTCTCTGATTTTCTCCTGTTCGAGATTGGGATCGATTCCTTTTGGCCAATCTGTGAATTGTCATATCATAAAGCAGCAGCGTTCGTTTGAGAACGTCTCAGTTGTAAATTCACTTATGAACATGTACGGTTGATGTGCGAATTTGAATACGACACAAAAGCTCTTCGATCAAATCGATCCAAAAGACATTGCTGCATGGAACTCCCTTATCTCCGCTTAGTCGCTTACGCCGAGAACGGGAAATTTTTCGAAGCTATCACTTTTTTCGACAAAATGATTTCACAAGGATTAAAGCCTAACTTAGTGACCGTTATAACCTTGTTATCCGCATGTGCTCGGTTTGCCTGTATTGAGAACGGGAAAAAGATACACGAATACATCAAATAAACGGGATTATTATTCACTCACGAAGTTCCGCTCTCTACAGCTCTAGTTGGCATGTGCGAAATGTGGAGAAATCGACACGGCGAGAGAAATTTACAACTCCATGACCGAAAAAGATGCCGTGTCTTGGAACGTGATGATTTTCGGTTATGGGGCCCACTGGGAAGAATAGAATCAGTAATCGAGATTTTCCGGCAGATGGAAGAAAACGGAACCGAGCCACCAAACAGGCTCTCTTTCCTCGCGGTTCTCTCAGCTTGCGCTCATTCTGGATTGGTCGAGGAAGGTAAGTCTCTGTTCGATAGAATGATGAGATATTGTTCTCTTGTGCCCACGTTGAAGCACTATGCTTGTATGGTGGATCTTTATGAGATATTGTTCTCTTGTGCCCACGTTGAAGCATTATGCTTGTATGGTGGATCTTTATGGACGAGCGGGCTGTCTTGATGAGGCTGAGTCTCTTATTCTGTCGATGCCTTTACCTCTTGATGGTGGAATTTGGGGCTCTTTGTTAATTTCTTGTAAAATACAATTCTGAGATGGGTGTGAAGATAGCAAAGCATGCCATTGAAGCAGACCCAGAAAATAATGGGTACCGTGTATTAATCTCTGATTTCTACAGTTGTATGGAGATGTGGGAAGAAGTTGAACAAGTTCGGAAGGTAATGAAGGATCGAGCGCTGAGGAAAACGATGGGTTGGAGTGCAGTGTTAAAACAGAAATTGCCTTAAAAGTTAAAACTTTATCGGAAAACGGATTTTTTAAGAACTTCGGATTTATGAACAAATTGTGCCGTGCTGTGGCCGAATGGAGGTGAAGGGAGATTCAGGTAATATTTTAAATCCTTCTGATTCATTTTTTCAGGTAATATTTTTGGGCGTGCTTGGATACAATTTTATCCGTTCAAAACGAGTTTTTTTGGTTAACCATGGTTAATTTTGAAAAAGGTGGTGTGATTTGTTGTTAGTGGAATTTTGAGTTATATAAAAATAAAATAACTAAAGTTGATTTGTTATAAAATATGAGAGAGATGATGTGAAGTGATGCTTAGTTAAAAATATGTGAGTGGATGAATAGTGAATTAAAGTTGATGTGATGTGTAAGAATGATTAACTGATATTATATTGATAATATTGAGGATAGTGAGGTTGAGTTAAAGTTGAGTTAGATTTTGAGTATGAATTTATTATATACAAACACACCCTTAAGGACTTGGAATTATGAACAAATTGTGTCGTGCTGTGGTTGAATGGAGGTGGAGGGTATTCACGTAAGAGGAGATACGTTCGGTTGTGTATGCATTTGTCCGATTTGCACTCTTCATCCTCTTTGCTCACATCTTCTATAGCTTGGTAAGAAATGTCTTTTCATGTTAGGAAAGTATTTTCTTCCACAATTCTGAGTGACTTAAACATAAGAGACCTATGAATCTATTATTACTCCTTAAACCTGTTTATATGCAGTAATCGAACATAGCGCTGATCAGAGAATATCATTTAAAAAGAAAAATATTGCCAGGTTCATTTGCAAGCTGTTATATCCATCTTTCGACCCTCAGAAACCAAAACGAGACAAGGTAATCAAATAATGTCTGCAACCCTCAACATAGTTAACCAAAACGAGACAAGGTAATCAAATAATGTCTGCAACCCTTAACATAGTGTGAGGTGACGTGGAAAATCCAGAAACTTCTTGTGGAAGGTGATTGGAAGCAACAACAACAACAACAACAACATACCCAGTATATTCCCAACAGGTTGGGGTCTGGGGGGTCAGTTGTACGCAGACCTTACCCTTGTAATTATACAAGGAGGCTGTTTCGTCGGTTTAAAATTTTGCAGACCAGAAAAGATGGAGGAGCTTTCGTATTGGCTGCACCTAAGAGAGGTTGCTGGTTTTTCACAGCATGTTTGTCTTTTTGAATTTGCCTTGTCCTTCTGTGAGAACTGAAAAACAAAATTGAGAGTTTGAGCTTGTAGCTGTAGGTCTTTGGACTGAGGTTTAGATATACTTATAGAACTATGCTACACAATCATAATGGTGACATAATACACACATGTTAAACGATTTTGTAATTTTACATATAACATCATCTTTAAAATCAACAACTCAAAATACTCACACTTTATTATAGCGAATACATTATGTTTTATGTCAAAATAGCAGTATTCATATTTATATATTTGTTTTAAGGGAATTAAAATGTCTAATTATGAGGAAAACTGGAAAAGACTTTGAGCATGCAGTTGCTTAATTGAAGTGTGTGTTTTCTTGTTTAGTCTCAATTTCAGTAATATAAATTGTAAACAGATTTTTGGTGAACTCAATTCATTCCTCGAGATGGGGACTCTTGGTTATGGAAGGGGTTGGTGGGAGCTAGGGATTCGTTGCTTAGAGGTTAAGATACCAGGTGGGTGATGGGGCTTCTATTAGTGTTTAGAATTCCCCTTGGATTCCAAATAGAAAAACTTTAAACCCTTCTCTATGTATTTCTGGTGAAGTTGTGGGTAGAATTAAGAGGGTTAGTTTTGTAGGAAGTGGGATAGAGAACTAATTGAGCAAACTTTCAATCCTTTTGATGCTCAGTCTATTATCCAGATTCCTTTATGTCGTGTGTGTAGGAAAGTTAGGCTAGTGTGGTATTTTGATCCCAAGGGTGTTTTTTCTGTTAAAACAACCTATGCCAGCATCATGGCTCACAAATCAAGCAGGTTAAGTCCAATGCAGACTCCAAGAAAATGTGGCTGAGGACCTTGAAACTGCCCCTTCAACCTAAACTCAATAATTTCATGTGCAGCTTCCAGTATGTTGGCTGCTAGATGGGTTCTGACTGAAGCAAGCTAAAGAATGGGCTGGAAGAAGATTCACTGCAACTTGCAAGATGAAGAGTCTTTTTTTTTTTTTTTTTTTTTTTTTTTTTTTTTTGTCAAACGATAGATAAACTTCCACTCACAAAGAAACGAGATGAAAACGTCTTACAATCGGTGATCCACTGATCACAAATAAGAAAAGCAGTAGAAAACCTACAGCTAAAACATTAGCAAAGCCATTCATGGCTAGAAGAGGATGAAACAGCCTCAAGAGCTAAAGAAGAAGCCACACAAATAAAATCTGAACATGAGGTTTCAAAGGAACATGACAGAGCTAAGTCTACTAGCATATAAATATTATCTGCAATAGCTTTCTTTGAATCATCAAAAGGGTGTGAGTTCTTCAGGTGCATTAAGGCAGCTTCATCATCCATGCATAATTCAATCTCTTTCCAATCTTTCAAAAATGCAGTCCATAAAGCATGTTGAACACCATGTAGAATTGCTTCAGAAGCATCATAGCAGTTAGGAAGGAAAACCTGCCATTTCATGCACATGATTCTTTGATTCTTGATTACAGCAACACCACCAAAGCCACTTCCCATACCTGGAACCATGCAAGCACTGACAAATAAACAAATTTGCCCTACTTGGTTTGAATTGGTAGTAACAGCAATCCCAGCCCCTGATTTTTTAACTCTTGCAAATTCACACCACTCTCCAGAGGCTTTCTTCACAACATCCCTGTCAGCAATGGTTTTTTTCTCAAATATCCACAAGTTTCTAGTCCTCCATAGCCACCAAAGAATATACACAGACAGCTCCACCCTATCCTCCCAACATTCTCCTTTTTTAGCATTGCATAAGTCAGACCACCAACCCTTAAAACAATCTGGTGTAACAGTTTTTTTATTCCAAGAAATAGGAGCAATACTCCACACTGTCTTAGCTTTTTCACAGGTAAACAGCACATGAATTAGGGATTCAACACCGTTTCCACAAACCTGACACCAAGGGGTAGGCAACATTCCTCTGGCACAGAGTTTTTCAGCTACTGGCAATGAGTCATGGATACACCTCCACAAAAAAGATTTCAGTTTTGGCTTTATTTGGATAGACCAGGTGCAATTCCACATTTTTCTCTGCAGATCTCCAGTGTTGCTTGAGCTAGCTTTTGCTTTGAGTAGATTGGCTCTTTTCATGATCTCCTTGTAGCAAGACTTCACTGTAAATGATCCTTTTTTCTCTGGAACCCAAATGAACCTGTCCTTAGAGCCATCATTAAGAAGTGGGATGTTAATGATTTCCTTTGTTTCTTCCTCAGTGAAGATTTGAGCAATTAGATTGTGGTTCCAACTTCTGCCATCAGATTCAAGAAGATCACAAACCCTTTCAACTCTCCTATCTTTACCTCTCAGCCCAACTGGTTTAAAATTTCTGATATTAGGCACCCAGGGTGATTCCCAAATCCTGATATTTCTCCCATCCCCCACTCTCATTCTAAGTCCCAATGCTAAGGCCCCTCTAGCTTTTGACCAGCTTTTCCAGATCCATGAATCTTGGCCTTTGACAGAAGCATTGCAGATTCCACCCTTGGGAAAATATTTGGATTTCAGCAGCCTGCTCATGAGTCACCAAGCTAAATTCTCTTCGATTTTCTGTGCTTCCTTTGTCAGAAAGTTGTACTTGATATTCAGGAATTGTTAACTGATTTTAATTTTTGTTCTTTCTCGCTTTGGTAAATGTCTTCTAGTATCTAGGTGATGATGTCTTTGAGGGTGTGCCTTGGTATCTGTGTCTCACTTTCTAACTGTTGCTTAGATCGATTGTTGTTGTAATCAGTGGAGGATTTGCCTGCTGTACGTTGGCTTGAGTTTTAATATATTTTGGTTTTCGTGAAGAAAAAATAAAAATTCATTCCTCGAGTAAGATTCGAGCCAAACTCAGATTAATTATAAGTCAAGATTGGAAAAATTTATATCTGAATCTTTCATTAAAAATTCAAGCCGTTAAATTGAATCTTACAAAAATATGTAATACTACCTCCTATTCTTTTTAAATGTCGTTTTGGCTTTATCAATTATTAATAAAATAAATGACGTATGTTGTTTTGGCTTTATCAACTATTAATAAAATAAATGATGTTTCGGATCTTTTGTACATATTTTTTCATTATTATCCTCATTTGGCTAATAAATACACTACGTCTTTTCATATTCACTCTTTATCTTTTGTCAAAACACTCATTTCTATCTTCATTAATGAGGCTTATTATTGGAAAAAAAAATGTAATACTCCCTCCTATTTTTATTATTTGTCATCCTAACTTAATTGATCATTTTGTTAAATAAATGTCGTCTTGACTATTTTGTGTACATATTTTTCTATTATTACTCTCATCTAACTAATAAATACACTACGTTTTTTCATATTCACTCTCCATCTTTTTTTCTCAAAACATCAATATCTATCCTTATTAACGAGTGTTATTATTGGGAAAATTTTTTTTCTTAATCTATATATATATAATTGCTAGCTAATCCCATTTAATAAAACATTTAATAAAAATATTTTCACTTTCCCTCCAAAAGGAGTTACATTTTTTTAATTAATTACTCATTAATCTCACATTTAAGAAGGTTTTTTATAGTTAAATGTAATTAGTTAATGACTAAATTAAAAAGATTTATTTTAATTAATCCCACATTTATGTTAAGTACAATATTATCTTAATATCTTATCAGTTTTTCAAAAAAATAGTAACTTTTTTCAATAAATTTTATAAAAATTAGTCAAATGTGCTTATATTCATATAAATCAAAAAAAAAATTAAATCTTAGATATATAAAAAGAACATTGTTGAAATAACTTGAATCCGCAAGGGTAATTCTATACTCATTATCAATTACTTTAAATTTTTTGTTTATATAAAAAATTAATATTATATTTACTCATTTATATTAATATGGTATTTTTTTTATTAAGAAGCAAAGACAATCTCTATCAATCAATAAGAGTCGAGGACAAACAATATAAAGAAGTGTTTCCTATGCTATGACATGATCAATAAGAGTCAAAGACAGTCTCTGTCGCACGTCGGCTTACTACTGAAGAGCTCTGCATTTGGTCATGAGCAATTATACGTGGCGCTTTTTAGAGTTACGAGTCAGTGGGGTTTGAAGAGTTTGATTTGAGCTGAGGGAGATTTTGACGATAGAAAAACCACGACGTTGTTTTATAAAGAAGTGTTTAAGAATATTTATATTTTTTTTCTTAATATTTTTCAATGAATTTGTTATAATTTTTACTATTGTTTATAATTTTTATTATTTTTTCATGTATCATATAGTTTTCCGTGCAAATGCACGGGACAAAAACTAGTTATTGTGTAACTTCTCAAAATTGACATTTATTAAAAATAGGAGAGAATATTTTTTAAGAATCAACTGTTCCAAGTTCCAAAAAAGTAGGGCTCACGTCCACTCCCCGCACAAGATAAAGCACGAGTCCGATGAAAATTATTTTCCCGGCGAAAAATTTCCAGCCGCAAACTCAGCCACTTTATTCACCCCATTCTCTCGGAACGCGTCTGGTATTCTTTCAATGTACATTATTTCAAAATACCCGCCTTTGGCTTTTCATTTGCTGGGCTTACGGATTCTTCTATCCCCTTTTTCTTTTTTCTTTTTTTTTTCTTTTTTCTTTTTTTTTTTTT